ATATGATTCCCCGTGACAAAAAATAATGATGCCAAAAATTGTAAAGAGTACTATTTGACTCCTTTTCACAATCATATACGGAGTAGATTATGTTGGTGATGGGGTCACAGGCCTAAGTCCATTATCTCATCAAGGTTAGGGGTGGTTCGGTACGGTATACCTTATATTTTTTCTCATACCTTTGCCATACCAAAACTTTCGGTATGCAAAATTTGCATACCTTTACCTTACCGAAGTTTCGGTATACCGCATTTCGGTATACCGAAGTTTCGGTTTGGTAACGGTACGGTATCGGTAAATTACCATGCATGTCTCCCAATACAAAAAATTATCATAGACTAACGAAATATACTAAATCATTATTACTAGCGACATATTAAATCTATTATTAAAATGTTACGAAATACAATTAATAATCTATTGATGTCAATTCAATATTGAACAATAATTATTATTAGTATATTTAAGCAGTTCAACATACCACATATTAAAAAGTAACACATTCTCCTAAAATAACTTGAACAATATAGATATAATTAAATCAATAGTGATCTCTAACAAAAATAAATAAAACTATTCAAACAACATGGATATAAAATCATTTATTCCTAATATGATATTGTGTATTTAGTCATTTTTATAATTTTTTAAAAATTGAATAAGACTTTTGGACAAAGTTGTGTGTCTCGACTCGTTGAATCCCTGTGTAGATACACTTGTCACATAAGTGTATCTATCTTCACTCATCAGCTACTTAGCGGCCCAACCATCACGACTTGCAAGCTCTTGGAACAAGATAGACTTGTTTCTTGACATTTGTACATTACTCATTAGTCATTTAAGGTTAGCGTAGTAGAAGCCTATAAGGTTATAGTGGGTTTGAGAAATTGGACCTTTATTTTTGTATTTTTGTATTTGTAACCAACTTAAGTATTAATTTTGGGCTTCAAAATTGTAATGAATTTCTACAATATATTAGAATTAAAAGTAATTGTTGAGTAGGGAGTCGGTACGGTATTATACCGGTATACTGCGGTATTTGAAAACTTTTACCGTTATCGTACCGAAATAGACCGGTACGGTATGATACCGTACCGAAAATGACGGTATACCAATATTTCGGTATTTTCCGGTATTTTTCGGTACGGTAAGTGCGGTATACCGATATTTCGGTATTTTTGCCCACCCCTAATCAAGGCAAACCCACCTATGGGCCTAATGACCATGGAGCTCAAATCGGTCTAACTGACAAGGTCTAACAAGGAAAGGAAGACCAAGAAGGCGGAAATCCAAGCAGCCAGCCTGTCAGTCCATCATGGAGTCTGCCTATAGGCCTGGGTGGGAGTCTACCTACTTACCTAGACGGGATTCTACCTACCGACCCGGATTGGAGTTTATGTGTCCGCCCAACGGGGAGCCTACCTTCCAACCCATCAAGGAGCCTACCTTCCGGTTCAACGGGGAGTCTGCCTTCAAGCCCAGCGACAAGCTTGCCTTCCATTTCATCGGCGAGCCTGCCTACTAGCCCAACTGGGAGTCTGTACCCACCCAAGCTGGGTGGATGCCTACCGATCTAGTCGGGAGTCTGCCTACAAACTAAGGTGCTGTTCTGTTCGTCTTATTCTTATTACTTATTGCTTATTCTTATTTTATTCAGATCAGATCAGATCAGATCAGAAAAATTCAGATCAGATCAGATCAGATCAGAAAAATTCAGATCAGATCAGATCAGATCAGAAAGATTCAGATCAGATCAGATCAGATCAGAAGCATTCAGATCAGATCAGAAACATTCAGATCAGATCAGACCAGATCAGAAGCATTCAGATCAGATCAGAAACATTCAGATCAGATCAGATCAGATCAGAAAAGTTCAAACATGATTTTTCACTTTTATTATTATATTAAATATTAATTATTATTATTATTATTATTATTATTATTATTATTATTATTATTATTATTATTATTATTATTATTGTTATTACTATAATGATTATTATTATATAATTATTATTAATAATATTAATAATAATATGATAAAAAAAGATATTAATAATAGTTATAATTTTTTAATATAATAATAGTAATATAAATGCAATTGTTAAGAAGACTATTATTATGACAACATTATAATAATAATAATATGATTAATATTATTATAATTATATGTAATTATAATTATAATTACAATTATAATTCTTATAATTATAAGTATAATCAATTGTAATTATTATAATTATATCTATAATTAAATATATTTATAATTGTAATTAATTATAATTATAATTACAATCATAATTATAATTATGATTATAATTATAAATATAATATAATATTATAATAATATAATACTAATTATAATAATAATCATATTATTATTATATTATTGTAATAATAATATTAATATAATAATATCGTTATAATAATATTAATTGTATTTATATTACTATTATTATATTATAATATTATAATTAATGTTAATATAATTATAATTATTATTAATTATAATTATAATAATTATAATTATACTTATAATTATATTATAATAATAATTTATGATTATAATTATTATTTTTATTATAATTAATATTAATATTATTATTATTATTACCATTGTAATTATTTTATGGAGTAATTATAATAATATTGATAACTATAGTTACAATTATAGAGATAAATATTGTAATTATAATTACAATTATAATTATAATTTTATTTAAATTATATTTGTAATTGCAATTATAATAATAATTATAATTATAATTATAATTATAATCATAGAAATATTCGAATCAGATCAGATCAGAAAGATTCAGATCAGATCAGAAGGATTCAGATCAGATCAGAAACATTCAGATCAGATCAGACCAGATCAGAAACATTCAGATCAGATCAGAAAGATTCAGATCAGATCAGATCAGATCAGAAAGATTCAGATCAGATCAGATCAGATCAGAAAGATTCAGATCAGATCAGATCAGATCAGAAAAATTCAGATCAGATCAGATCAGAACTTAAAAAATTCAGATCAGAAACATTCAGATCAGGCGAAGAGAACAGCTTCTAAGTCGGAAAAGTTTCCGCATCCCTGCCCCATCCCCCGTTACTCCCAGACCCGCCCCATCCCCGCCCCACCCTGTTGTCCCCCACGGGTGCCCGCGGGTGCCCCCATGTAGATCTAATTTATCGTATTTGCATATACTTTTAATCCATTATAAATATATGTGGTGCGGTTCCAATGAGAATGGTGCTTAGCGTGAGAATGTGAGAACACTCACATTTAATCCAATGTGATACACAATGAGCCCTTCTAGTGCACATTTGGACATTGCTCAATACAAGCTAATATAAATAATCACGGTGACAATTTTATAAATACTATGCTTGATACCAAAAGGTGTAACCAAGCACTCCAGCCTAGCTGGTTGCGAGGTTACCGTGCCTAGCGAGAGGTCTCGTGTTCAAATCCCGCTAGGCACACAAGGGTGTGAAACTCAATGGAGTGAGTTTCAGCCCTGATTACTCCAGGCTCCCCCCAGCCCCCCTCCCCCAGACCCCCCCTGGAGTAAAAAAAAAAAAAAAAAAAAAAAAAAAAAAAAAAGATACCAAAAGGTGCATTGTGCGAGCCCATTGTACGTCACATTAGGGATAAATGTGGTGTTCACACATTCTCACATTAAGCATTGTTCTCATTTGATCCTAAATCTATATATATCTACACAACGCAGATATTATATACTACCTCCGTCTCAGAAACAACTTCCCGTTCGGTTTACGATGATTGACTAGCGATAAAGCAACTCGATCCCTGTTCACACTCGGATTATTTTTAGTAAATAAAATTTACATATTCAAAAACTACATTAAAACCGCTACAAAACCTGATCAAAAAAATTTAATTTGATAAAAATTTGATATATAAAGTAAAAGATTATGAGTGATTTTGAGTTGACCAATGAATAGTGAATGAGAAGTTAATTTTGGGACGGAGGGAGTATATAGACATGTATACATATGCAACCCTGAAGTGTTGTGTTTATTAAAAGTTAATACCGCCAATTTTAATAATTCTTCAATTTGAGTAAGTTTTGTGAATCGAAGACAGTTAAAATAAAAATATAAGTAAACATATTATCATCATGTACGTCGATTCAAAATTCTCAACAAGTATAATACAATTAATTACATATTACATATAAATGTGTATGTATTTATTTATTCACTCTTAAAACTCATATAATATTTATGATAAATATTTTTAATCATTACTAGCTTATTACTTCGTATTATTCTAGTATAATATGTTTTAATTCATTAACCATGACTAAAATATATACATTTATGTATGTCTATATGTATATGCGTTTAATTTGTTACATACAATATATAATTTAATTTAATATGTTTGTACATTATTTATATATGTGTATTTATATATGTTTGAGTATATATTTATAACGGGGGACGGGGCGGGTGTAGCAATTCCCGTCCCCCGCCCCATATTTTAACGGCGTAAAAATATCTCACCCATCCCCGTCCCCACCCCGCCCCAAGCCCCGCCCCATCCTCCCCCCGCGGGGCGGGTCCCCACGGGTCCCCGCCCCCATTGCCATCCTTAAGTCAGGCTAACCTGCTAGCCCAGAAGAGTAACGGCCATACACAATTAATGTTTTGATTAATTATGTATTAATTATGTATTAATGTTGTAATTAATTAGTCATTATCATATGTACTAGTTATCATTTGTAAACGCATACAAATAGCAAGCGTAATTCAAATGACAAGACACTTTATTTCACGCAATTAATTCTTAAAGCAACTTTCCATTTTCGTATTACTTTCTTAATTCCTACTATCCTAAAAGTTTATGAGCGTCTATTTTTTTTTACCTACAGCTGGCATTATCATCACCACAAAATTTTGGTGGAGACCTCTACTAAAAATGTGTAGTGATGATGCTGACTTTATAGCTTAAACTAATCATGTATCTGATTGACTAGCATAGTGAATTCAAATATATCTCAAAAAGGAAGGTGAATGACATAATATATTTAACAGAAGAACAAGTTTTGAGTCATTCAGGTGAGATACAAGAACTGTATTTGCAGCTTCATAGAAATTCATATACTCTGTAACTTTTAAAAACCATGTTGAAAATACAAACAACTAAAGTACAGGATACTCTGTGTATGTAAAGTTAAACTTGAGATCTTCAACCTTCAACCAATACTGTATTTGAAGCAGGAACACATGCCACATTGTCTTCTCCTAAATCCACTTCAGTTTGATCAGGACAAGGTTTCTCATCATAGCTCTTTGTTCCCTTTTTGGACGCTGAAGATTGATGAGAATGATTGCCATCCTGGGGATTCATTCTTGTCCCTTTTGATGAGGTGGCACCATTCTTATTGCTGTTTGCTTGTAAGGCCTGGGGAGACTTTCCCGGTTTTGTAACAGTCTTGGGGCTAAGACTTTCTGAACCGCCGGTTGCTGATGATGCAGATGATTTGTTCCTCCCAAGCTTAGGAGATATGGGACGTGTTGTGGGCCTCTGTAAAATTGTCAAAGATCTTAAACTTCACATTCTGCAGAATGGAAGAACCCAATCCTATCGAATTACTACAGGTACCGTTCAAATTGATTTGGATTAACTTTCTTCAGTTCACTCATCTCCTAACTTTCTTTAAGATAATTACTTCGTATGATATTACCTTTTTCAATTCAACTTTTGGAGGAGGTTCCTTGTAGAAGCTTGGCAATGGAGTAGCTTTAAAAGCCAAGCTCTTTCTTAGCTGCTTTATCTCGGCCTCTTGGCTTTCCTATGTGAGCAAGTAGAGGAGTTCTTCTAAATTAGGTGACAGTAACAACTAACAAGTAGAGGAATCATTAAAACCTTGAAACCAAACTACTGCTACGATTGTAAAGGTAAAATGCATGTATGTAACAACTTTGGATTTTGCCTGCAATTTGCTCTTTTCCTCTTCCTTTGCTTGTATCTTTTCTTCTATCTTTGTAAGGAACTGAAACAAAACAATCAAACTTAGAACTTCTTGTTCTGAACTCAAATTTTTAATACACAGACACACATCAAACCTCTTTTCGTTTTTCAGCCCGCTGTTCCGATCTAAAGGAAAATCCGGGACCACTCATCCTCCGCTGTCCTTGAGGAGTGGCACTGCTGATGATAGCATGAAATACACAATGGTACAATGAATTCACAAAAAACAACGCAAAAAGGTGGGCCAATGTATATAAGAAAAGAGCAATACGATGAAGCTGTAGAATTAGAATCCTCTTCCTCCTTATGATGCACAACATCTGTTATGGGTTTGGACGTTTCACCAGTTCTGTGAAACAAATTAACTAGTTGGCAAGAAATATCCAAAAGGGAAACTTCAAACATTATCGAAAGGGAAAAACAATTTAAGGAAAGAATCTGCATATAACTAAATTGTCTTACCCTTTCAATGAATCAGTTCCATTAGCAGAACAAGACTTGCCAACCTGATTGTAATAAATAAGAAAAGAGATGCATGGGTGCATATGAGAATGATAAACCCATGTGTGCAAAGGTGAAATAAAATTACCTTAGACAGATCAAAGCTTTGAGTAGAAGCGGTTAAACTTGTTCTTCTGCTGGTAGTTCCTTTTTTACTCGCATGAGAAGTCTTAAGAGTTTTGGATGAATCAACTCCTTTAGCAGAAGCAAATGAACTTTCTCCCCCAGATTCTTTCGACTTTAAAGACGATTCAGGCATTTCCACAAACACCTCTTCCCCATTTTCTTTGTCAATCAAACATTCCCTCTCATCCTCTTCAGCCAGACCACCATTTCCAGACTCCATCCTATACAAAATCACCATAGATATCTAAATAATAATGATTTCTTGAATAAACCAAGAACGACATAACAGTATTATTTCATGCAAGAACGGGTAATCAAAAAAAGGGAAAAGGTGTGTGAAGCGTACCCCTGTTTGTATGGAAGAGCAGTAACTATCTATGGGTTTCTGACTTTGAATGCCGATTTTGGAGTAATGGAAAGTACGGCTAGAGATAAGAAAAACAGTTGAAACGAGAATGAGGTTGAGCGGGAGTGGTTACTATGGAGAAGTTATGGGAAGAAAGAAGTGGCGAGTGTTTCTAGGGAAGACGATTGACGCAACTTGCAGTGCCTAAGCTAGTCGTTACTCGCTGCCATAACTGCTCCCATTCTGATGGCGATTTTTGCAAATTATTTGGCTAATTAGGGCCCGTTTACTAATACAGATATTTTTCTGTTTTTCAGAAAACTGGAAAATTGGAAAATGGAAAACAGAAAATATGTTTACCAAAGAAAATTGCTGGAAAACTAGAAAATGGAAAACAGAAAAATGTGTTTACCAAATCGTTTTCTAAAACGAAAAAAATGAGACATGTCTCTCTTTTCCTTAATGAATTGGAGAAGTGACTTTTACTAGTTTTCCAAATTTGGAAAAAGCAGATGCTACAGTGACGCTGCAATGAATTTGCATACCTACGCCTAGTGGTGGATCCGGTCTCGCTTCGGTGTCGGTTCCATTCCGGCCAACGACCCTACGGTTCCTATTTGGTACGGTCAACGACCCGGCGGTCCGGTTCGGTTATTGACCCAACAGTACCTGTTCGGTCCGATCGACGGACGAGCAATCCTGGTCCTATCTGATCGAAGACTCGTCGATCCCGGTCCGATCCGGTCGAAGACCCAACGATCCTGGTCCGATCTGACAGTCCCTCTCTGGTCCGGTCCATGAACTGCGGTCCCCGTCCATTCTGGTCCACGACCCCGCGGCCCCTTTTCGGTCTGGTACACGACCTTGTGGTCCATGTCTGATATGATGAATGACCCAACGGTCCTTTTCCGGTCCGATCGATGATCCGACGGTCCTTGTCCGGTCCGATCCACGACTAGGCGGTACATATTCGGTTGACAGGCGGACAGTCTCGGTCTAATCGAGTATGGTCAACGACTTGGCGGTCTCCGTCCGGTTAAAATAATGACCCGGCGGTCCCTACTTGGTCTGGTCAACGACCTGACGGTCCGGTCATTGACCCGGTGGTCCCTGTCCGGTCCGATCGAAGACCCAGCAATCCCGGTTCGGTCCGGTCGACAACCTAGTGGTCCCTGTCCGGTCCACGACCCGACAATCCCTCATCAAGTTCGGTTCACGACCCCGTGGCCACTTTCTGGTCCGGTCCACTACCCAGTTGTCCTTGTCTGATCCGTTCGATGACCCATCGGTCCCTGTCCGGTCCCATCGATGACCCAGAGATCCTTGTCCTGTCCGATCCACGACCAGGCGGACCCTGTCCGGGGCGGTCAATGACCCGGCAGTTCAGTCTCGGTTTTTTTGAAAATTCATATTTTAAAGTGAAGAGTTATAAAAGAGCGTTGAGTTGTCAACCAATAGGGAGATGAGAAAAGAACTCGTGAGATTAACCGTTGACATCGACCAGTACCAGCCGGTTTTGGTCCCGACTTTCCTATACGTGAGACCCGGTACCCTACTTGGGTTGTACTAGGTTTGATTTCGGTATGGGACTGCACTTTCGGTCTTCTTGAAGATCACATAACCGAGTGAAAAAATTTGATGAACATGTTTTCAGATTTGAAAATGGAAAACTAAAAAATGAAAGCAGAAAATTGGAGATAGAAAAACTGGAAAATGAAAACAGAAAATTGGAGAACGGAAAGCAGAAGTAGAAAACTAGAAAATATCTCTATTAGTAACTACGGTACTAATAGAATTTATTAGAAAACTAGAAAACTATATTGGCTGATTCTGCTGATTTATGAGGAAAAAATTAAAATATATTTTATTAATAAATAAAGAAAAAATTATATGAAAAATAGCTAAAATGATGGTCATCTACAGTAACTTCAACCAATACAGCCAGAAAAATAATTTCAATCTTACTTTTTCTTATTATTACAACAATCAAGCGCGCAAAATCCAAAGTTACGTGTTTGGTTAAAGGTTTGCTGATAAGCCTGATAAACCAAAAAACATACTTACCAAACGAGCTCAATAATTGCAACTCGAACAAAAAAATGGTGTCCCAAAAATCCCCAAAATGATGGATGGGGAAAGTGTAACCCATATGTGACCCCTAGGCTCTTATTCACGAAAAGCGGGCAGCTGATGCGCGCTGGAAAGAAATTATGTGGGGTCCAACCAAAATAAAATACCAATAACATTCAAGGTGTTATAACTTTTTATTTAGACTCCAAATCTTTAAAAAGATATATAACAAAATTTATAATTTTTTATTACATTAGTATAAAACAAAAAAACAAAAAACAAAAATTGAAGTTTCAATTCGTGGGGATTTTCAGATCCAAATTTTTCTTAAATAGATCCAAGTAGTAAAATTAAGACCATCCTGACCTCCCCTGCTTCTCACTATATTTTAACCATGGATTGAACGGTCATTTTCAGTTTTTAAGATATTTATTTAGCCAAAAGTTGGAAACAACCAAAAAGTAATTATAAATGACAAATTTTCTGAAATTGGAGTAAAAACGTTTTGGAATTCCATAATAGGACAGTCCTATTTTTATTCCCTAACTAGGAGTAATTACTGCCAAATTTGAAAAATATCGTCATGTTTAAAGTCTTGTACTACCAAAGTACCAAATCATGGCAATAATTATACCTATTTCGGGAATAAAAACATACTCCATATGTCCCAATTTGTTTTGCAAAAAATCTTTTTTTTTGTCCCAAAATGATTTCCCACCTTCCATTTTAAGTATAGAAACATGATTAAAGTGACAAGTTTGCCTTTGACCCTTACCCTTCTAATCTTTCACCTCACCTTTTTTTTTCAAATGAGCTTGGTTATTTCCCATTTTCTTACCCACTCATCCCTTATCACTATCACCCATCTTGCCATCACGTACACACCACTTTCACCCACTTCTCTCCTCGTCTTTCCATTTGAAGGAACAACCATCTCCACCCACATTTGACGATGAAGACAGACAAATTTTCATTTATATATATATAATAAAGATTATTATTAGTTATAAGGTTAAGTCTTTTTCTTAGGTAACTATATATCTTACATTCCATATATTTTAGTTTCCATATATATAAAAAACTTTCTTTAATACTCCCTCCGTCCCGGGGAGAAGTTCCCAATTTCCTTATTTGGATGTCCCAAAAGAAACTTCCCATTTCCCTAAATGGAAAGTTATCCTACATTAAAACAGTGTCAAACAGTGCAAAACAGTGCCAAACAGTGTCGAACAGTGCCAAACAGTGTCGAAACAGTGCAAAACAGTAAAATTTACCCCTCAGTAACTTTATTTCCTAAAAATGTGTGAAAGTCAACCCGGGAACTTCTCCCCGGGACGGAGGGAGTATTATTTATCATGGCTTTAGAGGGCAGAATAACATTCATATTACATAAAATATTTACTTCTTTATTTGTTGCGTACCTCATCAAAAATTAATCATATATTTGTACAATTGTACCCAACTTTTTCTTATAGTATTATCAATGTCAAAACTTCATTCAATAAATGTAGCTTTTTCAACAATAAAAAAACAAACAATTAGGATTAACAATTCAAAAGTATAAAATACTACTCCGAAAGTAATTGACCACATATACACTATTACTATTACATCAACTATCCACGTTTATCTATGCATTTTATTTTCAAAATTTTGGTGGTTAACATAAAACCCCTTAATAGATTGGATCTGCCACCATAGCCATGGTAACAGCTTTGTACCACCACCATTGTCAACCCACTTCATGAGTCCCCGTGACCCCGTCACCCTTAAATATGACATTTCTTCAATTGTTGGTTAGGGAAAATAATTTAAATACCTCAAGTGTGAGGTAAGCCCCACAAATATGCATATGTAATATATAGATCCCGAACTTTATATAAAAAGTAATGTTAGTACCATGAAATTTACGCTATAAAGTCATTCTCAACACTACAAAATTACATTTGGTAATGAAAAAATGTATAATTATGGTGCAATATAATTTTTTATATACTCCCTCCGTCCCCAATTAAATGTCCCATTTTACCATATTGGGATGTCCCTATTTAAATGTCCCATACCTCATTTGGTAAAGTTTGTGTGGCTCAAAATCATTCTTACTTTATTCTTACTTTATTCCTACTTTATCAATTAATATCAACCACACAAACCCACTTTTCTTAAAACTCGTGCCACCCTCTTCCGGGACTTTTAAAAGGGGACGGAGGGAGTAAAGTTTAAGGTATATATATTACATGTGCAAGTTTGGGGTGCTTACCTCACACCCCTTCAAAGTTTGAGATATTTAAAATATTTTTCCCATGGTGACTACCATAAAAGTCAACTTCCACCAACATCAACAAGTTTACAATTAACGTGTGCAGTGATAGCGCTATACTCTAATCAACCGCCACTGCCGCCACATTTTGCCCTCGTAACCGTTGGAACCCACCAGTATGTTGGTGTTCCTGGCCATTATTGGCGACCATCTCTACTGCCAGCTATCCCCGGCACCATCTGTAATCTCAATCACAACATCATCACCAACCAATTGGGAGAATGTGGAAAGACATATTCTGTTTTAAGATATCTATTTAGGAATCATAGTCCCATATAATAATTAAGGGAAAAGGGGCAAATAAGCCCTCGAACTAATCAAAAAAGTGCAAATAAGCCCTTTTGTAGGAGGTTTTGACTGATCATCGTCATTTGGGGAGGTTCTCGGTGGAATTTTTTGATGAATTTTTTTTAGCATCTTCTTCATCAAGTCTAGTTTAGCCATACCAAATTTCAGCTAAAAATTAAACCGGGAAGGCACTCAAATGATTTTCGAAAATATACTGTGTTGTTTAACTGCGCAGTTATCTTCAAAAATTCATTTGACTGTCTTCCCGATTGAATTTTTAGCTAAAATTCGGTATGACTAAACTAGACTTAATGAATAAGATGCTCAAGAATTTTCATCAAGAAATTCCACCGAGAACCTCCCCAAATTACGATGGCCAGACGGAACCTCCTATAAAAGGGCTTATTTGCACTTTTTTGATTAGTTCGAGGGCTTATTTGCACTAATAATGATCATAGTTGTAAACTTGTCCTCCTGATGCATAAGTTTGATCATGGGACTTGAAAGCTCAACAATAATTTGAATGCGTCATCTTTTTCATTCATTCATAAATCATAATCATGGAGGATAAACCATCATTGTCAATTACAATTTGCAAGTATTAAATCATGAGCTAAATCATGCTGAAACTTCTTTGATTTAAGCAGCTTGATTGAGCACCATGACCACACTTACCACACATAAAGTCACCATCATTTGCGTTGAGAAAAGCATGGCTGTTACTTGTTGCATACTCTAGTTTTTACTCAATTTACCAATAAATGGCTAGATCCACCAATCAAGCATTCTCAAAAGATGAAGGCCAAAACAGAAAGTCCATTGGCTGTGTCAAGAAGCTCGTGTTACCTCCTTAAAGCTGATTTTAGATCATTTTATAACCGTTTCTGGCCTAAATCTGCATTCCCTTTAGTCATCATTGCTACAAATTCGTCGTAATCGATGCGACCATCCTGAAGTAGTAGGAGATATCAAAATTACTAAGAATAGAGAAAAGAAGCATATCTTATTAATCCAACCTCACACAAAATGACAAACTCCTAAATGAAGTATTAAACTACTCATCATATTAGGTGGGTCTTTTAGAATAGAACATCAATTCTTCATATGGTATCAGAGCCCATTACAATGAAAAGAGAATGTCGACCTGGTTAAGACTCACAAAGAACATACATAGTTCAAGTTGGTGTGTTCCAACGCTCCACCAGCTTGTGGGGCATGTTAGTTAATTCATTCTATATGGAACTTGAATTTAGCTTTCCCATGAGATTGACCTTTTAATATGGAACTCCATAACACAATGTGGGTATCTATATATATTACGGAATATATCATCATATTGTGTAGTTGGTACCTTTTCTTTCTCTCCAATGCCCTTTTGTGTATATACATACGATAGTATATTATATCCTATAGCTATAACCTTCATAGAAAATTACTTCGTATTAAGTATAACGAAATCATTTTGAAAGGATTGCTTACGTTGTCTCGATCTGCTTCACGAATCATTTCCTCCAAGAGGACATCCCTAAAGCCAAATTCCTCACAAGCTTTTTGAAGTTCATCACCTGTTATATATCCACTTCCATCTTTGTCAAAGTACGAAAATGCTGCAAATAAATGATTCTCCTTCTCAACTTTGTTCATGTGCAACATTGCAGCTATAAACTCCCCATAGTCAATAGTACCATTATCGTCCACGTCAGCCTGATTTTTTATGAAAAGAAAATGATTGAAATTGTAGACTACATACACGTATATTACGTAGAATTATTTTGTGGTATACCAAAACGAAATATACACATAATATATATTATGACTCACAGCCTTCATGAGATCATGTATCTCAGACTCGTTAAGATTTGCACCATATCTATTTAGTCCATCTTTTAGTTCTTCAAATGTAATTTGTCCACTATTATCCGTGTCAATTGCCTTGAACATTTCCTTTAAACCTGCAATTTCCTCTTGAGAAAGGTTATCTGCAATAACCTGCAAATGAAATAATTCAAACAAATGAAAATGATATATTTAAAATCTTTGGTTTTGTGACATTGTAAAGCCACAATAGTGTACATGTATTCAAAACCAATTGAATTTTGAAGTGCTAGAATACTATCTTAGTCTTTAAGCTTAAAAAGCTTTTGCTTGTTTTCAATGAAAAAACACTTACCCTTAGAGCCATTTTCTTGAGCTTATTCATAGCAGAAAATTGTGTTAAGCGAGTTAAGACTGCGGAGTCGAGGGGTTTATCTGGGGCCATTCCATCAATCTGCACCCATGGATGGCCTGCCAAAACAAACATGTAAGAAAATTATATCTTCAATTTTAAAGGATATTTTCTTATATTCTCTTTATGTCATATCACCTATGAATCTCTTCCCCTTAGCTTAGCTAAAAGATTTAGAGTTCAAAGGAATGGTGAGACCTCATTTCAAAATCACATTCGCGGAGTACACAAGCAGATTTTACTTACATAAAATGTACAAAAAAAATTGGAATAGACTCTTTTGATCTTATTAATAGATTTAGCAATTAGCAATATAAGATTGAATTATATCCTAAAAAGAGTCATACACATAGAAGGGGTAGCTCAAAAACTCATGTGTGAGTTTGTGTTTTTATATATGACCGATGGAGTAACTCAATGCCTCATATATGAATTTGCATGTTTGTTATTGGGTTGTGTTTAGTGTTGAAGTATTTGTCTCAAACCGAAATTATACAAAATAATAAATACTATATATGCTTTTGGGCTACTACTTCTATCACATTGACATTTTAAGATGTGACCCTCAAGACTTAATATGATATCCTAGTCAAGTCCGGTTATGGTTTGATTGTTATTTAGGACCCATGATTAAGAATAATTCACTAAAGGGTCTGTTTAGCTCATTTATACACCCGAAATTGTCTGCCTAATTTGGGTTGAGGGACGTACATGTTGAAGTATTTGTCTCACTCTGGAATTACATAAAATAATAAAGCACTATATAAGATTCTGGGCTACTACTTTTACCAAGTTGATCTTTTGAGATGGAACTTCGGATCTTAACAACTAACAAGTGCATTAATATAGCAAATGTAATTTAAAAAACTTACAATCACCTTTTGAAATGAAAGTGATCAAAAAGCGTACTAGCAAAAGCAATGGAAGAATTTTGGGACCCAGGTTTAAATATAAACCATATGTTGAATTCTTTCTTATAAATCATGCTAAGTGCCGCATAACACATTCTTTTGTGTTTAAAAATCAAATTAAACACAACTTGATTATATCCATGGAACTATTTGCAATAGATTCATCCAATAGAAAATTAATATAGAAATTTGAAGAGTAATCGGATTCATCGAACATAAATTACTCAAAATATTTGTAACTTACAAAGAACTTCATGAGCAGTTAGACGCTTTTTAGGATCCCTAACCAACATTCTTCTTATTAAATCTTTAGCACTATCAGAAATTTTAGGCCAAGGTTCTGATTTAAAGTCAACATCAGCCCTCAAGACTTCCTCAAATATGTCTTGCTCAGTTTCTGAAAAAGAACGTCAAAATGATAGAAGGATGAGAAGGTAAGACAATATAATAACCTATTTAAAGTTACATATTACTAAAAGCTTACCTCCCCAAAACGGAGGAACACCACTAAGGAGGATGTAAACTATCACACCAGCACTCCATATATCACACTCTTGACCATAATGTTTCCCCAAAACTTCTGGTGCAACATAATAAGGACTTCCAACAACATCATCGAAGATTTCCCCTGATTTCATAACATAGATAAGCAACATTTATTGGCATCAATGAAATACTCAGATTTCTCCTATTTTAAAAGTATTTCAAAATACTCTTTTGTAATTGTACCTTTTTAAAATTAAAAAAGAAAGATGAAAGTAATACATATCCACACACAAAAAGTTAAATGTTAGATCATTAGTAAAAGGTAAATGAAAAAGGGGAAAGTTAGAAGATATCAAATTAGAAAATTTTTCATATTTTTGTGAAAGACAAAAGGAAATGTATCTTACATAATGAGATAAAGGGAGTATAATCCTTTTAAACAGTTCAAGTCTTCCCATCGTATATTTACCTGAGGTATATCTAACATATAAAGTATAACACAAACCTCTAGTGTTAAATTGTTTGTTTATTGGTACCAATAATGGGTAGTTTGTCTAAGTTGATTTCGCCCATTTAATTCCCATTTAATTGATGGCCCTTTAGGATGAGTTGGAGCCTATTTAAACATAAATGAGTTCATTTTTCATTTTGAATTAAGTGACTATTCATACAAAACAAAAATTTCACTCTTTTGAGTTTGTTATCCTCGTTTCTAGCATTTACCTCATTGAAAGAAATAAACTAGTTTTCACTTTAAAAAATTACTTTACGTTATGCTGAAGAAATGTTATTTTTATCCATCTTATTATTGTTTTGCCTTGCTTATTTTGATTGCATATCTGCTATTACCTGCAAAGTGTCCCTCAATATTTGTGCTTGATTGTGCTTGTGAGAAGTTATATATTAGAGGTTACACAGAAACATGTTAAAATGTAAAAGTTAGTAGTATATGAATATAGAAGTGAATTTTAAAAGTAGAAGATGGAACGTTTGGCAAAAAAAGTTTTTTTAGAAAAGTAGTTTTAAGCACATTCCCACTGCATACAGAATTAATTCCATTTTTGGTCCTAAGAGTTTTATGTCATTTTCACATTTAGTCCACGTATTTCACTTTGTCCACTTTTGGCTCTTGACTAATGTTTCTTAATCATTTGTTGTCCTCCGGCGATTTTAACCACCGGAATTATTGCCGGAAGGACCATATATGGGTGAAAACACAATAGTTATGTATCAAAAATTGTCAAAGTCAAAGACGTGGACCAATTGTGGAATCGGTGTGATACTCGTAGGACCAAAAGTGGAATTTTATTCCTGCATACAACCTTTAGTTTTGAAGTGTTTAATTGTAAGCAGAAGTACTTTTTTGAAAACCTTAGATTTATTTAAAATGAAAAGCAGAGAAGAGGTATTAAGGAACCGCAAACACTTCTTATATACGAGGTATCTTGCATTTAGAAAAAACCACATAAATATCATAAAGAATGATTTAAACAAGCAAATCAGATTTTATAAGAAGATGACACAAGTTGAAAACATAGCAAAAGATATACTCCCTCTGGTCCCATAAAAAAGTACGAGTAGTATTTTAATAACTCTTATCGTCTTAAAGAAGTCATATACTCCCATTTCATCAAATAGAGTTAGTTTTTAATGTGATTATGTCACTCTTAATGGGTATAACTTGTTAAAATAGAGAGTTGTACCTTGAAAAAATATGACTCTTTTGTTAGACTGAGAGAGTATTAGAGTATGTATATATATAAATGCATACCTGGTTTGAAAAAAGTTGATAATCCAAAATCAATAGTTTTGAGAGGTGAATCCTCCTCATCACTAACAAAGAGGAAGTTTTCAGGCTTAAGGTCCCTATGCATGACCCCCAAGGAGTGGCAGGCCTGTATCACACCAACTATGGTCCTAGTGAGGTCAGCTGCCTGCCGCTCTGAGTAATGCCCCCTCTTTACAATCCTATCAAATAGTTCACCTCCTACACATAGTTCCATAACAAAATGAACTGCCACTGAGTCCTCATATGAGCCTTTAATAGATATGACGTTAGGATGACCGGCCAAGTGGTGCATTATCTCAATTTCTCTCCTCACATCTTCCACATCTTCTTTCGTCACCAATTTCCTCTTTGATATAGACTTACAAGCATATTTTTCCCGAGTCGCCTTCTCGACACAAAGGAAAGTGGTCCCGAACTGGCCATGCCCGAGTTTCTCCCCTAATTGGTAGAAGTCCTTCAGATGTCCAGTTTTGGTCTTTAACACAGAGTCTACCTGCAGGCCAGCACTGACTACTCTCTTCACATTGTGGGGCTTTCGGGGTTTCGAAGGCTTTTCCTTTCTGCCTCCTCTTTTGGCTGTATCGCCTTCCTCGGTGTGACGTCCCTCCTTCTCATCCTTTTCCATCCTAACCACTTCTGGCGGTTTGTTGTTCTGGACTGGAACAATTGCACCTTCTGCCTCTTCTTCACAGCTTGTTTCATTTTTCTTAGCGGGTGTGAGCATATCGAGTGGTGGGACCCACCAGAAGAGAGAATGAAAGATCCCATTTTTTGTGATTTTTGCATGAACACATTTGTTTCCCATCTATCTGCTGTTCCTTCTTCTGTCTCCCAAATTCCTAATTACCACCCATTTTGTGCTGAAATGATTTCAGCCGCACTGACATTATGCAATTCTAACCAACACAATTCCAAACCGTAATCCCAAGCATTTAGCTTCCTAGAGAGCTTCAGAATATAAAAATTAAAGCTATGAAACATTTAAGGCTTTCTATGGATGAAAGCAACAATCTTTGCGCAAAAAGTTGATTATCATGTAACCTATATGTGCGGAAGAAGTTAAGCTTCTGCAGAATCGGCAATCAGAAAAGAGTGCTGAGACAGCCCTTTCTCAATGAATTGAAGAAGAAGATGGTTGATGACTTGATGTTGGAATATATAATGGTAGCCAGAATTGATCATTCATGCGAGGAAGTAATCTCATTCGTCTCTGAAAGGATTGGATTAGGGTTTTGAATTTGCAGTTTCTTCTTAATCGATATGTGCATGTCAGAGGACCAGGTGACAGGTTTTTCAGTTGTGAAGACTCGAAGACCGGTCCCCCTAAATGCACAATACATATTTGGAGTTCACACGTCCTATATTGATAGTAATTTCCCTTGTTCCTTAAATAGACATTCATCAAATTATGCAAAACTCTAGATCTTTTCCATCTCAAAATTAAAAGGTAAGGATGGTTGAATTATATGGTTTCAAATTTTCAATTTTTAATCTCAAAATTAATAATGTTTAAATATAAATAAGTTTTATTTTAGTAATATTCATAAAAAAAAAATATTGATTGGTACACCACTACACCTAGGGGTGGATTCGGGCCGGGGCGGGCCGGGGCGGGCCTAGGCCCGACGGGCTTTCTGGGATTTGGGGTTGGGCCCGGGACCGGCCCGGGTATTGACCGGGTCCGGGCCAGGCCTCATGCCTCTTTATAATTTTTTTTTTTTTGCTTTTTCTAATTAACCTCTGACCCCCCCCCCCTCACCTAGGGATGGACTGGGCCGGGCCGAACCGGCCCGGAACCGGACCGGCCCGCTACTGTGCGGGCCCGGACCGGACCGGGCCCGGTTGGCCGGTTCCGGGCTTTTAGCCCGTTTTGGCGGGTCGGGCGGGCCGGTTCCGGGCCCTGTTTTTGTTGAACCGGCCCGGGCGGTTCGGGCCGGGCCCGGTTCATTTTTTTTTTTTTTTGGTTTTTTCAATTTTTTTTCTTTTCCTAGGGTAGGGCTGGGTGTTTTAGGGAGGTTTGGGGCGTGGGGGTGAGGGGGGGGGGTAGGGAGATAACAAGAAAGTCAAAAAAAAAAAAAAAAAAAAAAAAAACATTGAACCGGGCCCGGCCCGGCCCGGCCCGGTTAGGCCCGGACCCGGTATCAACCCGGGCCGGTTCCGGGCCCATGTAACCCGAAAAAAAGCCCGCCCGGGCCCGGCCCGGAACCGGAACCGGCCCGGCCCGGGTCCATCCCTACCCTCACCCCCCCAACCCCCCCCCCCCAAACACCCAGCCCAACCCGTTGGAATAAAAAAAATGAAAAAAAAATTGATTTCGGCTCAAACCGGGCCAGGACCCGGCTGGGCCGGATCTCATTTTGAAGGAACCGTGCCCGGAACCGTCTCCCCCTCGGACCGAGTCAAAGCCCGGTACCTGGACCGGTGAACCGGGCAGGTCCCGGGCCCGCACAGTAGCGGACCGGGCCGGCTCACGGGCCGGGTGGCCCGACCCGAGTCCATGAACCCATAGTCTGGTCTATTTAAGTCTAGTCTGATCTGAATTGATCTGGTAAATGTCTGGTTATTTTAAAACTTGGAAGTCTGGTCTAATTTGTTTAGTCTAATCTAAACTAGTATTCAAAACAATTCAAATAAAAACATATCAAAATTGTGTGACGGGTTAGAAAATTAGTGCTTCGTATAATTGTCAACATAAAATGATAAAAAGCATAAAAAATTACTCGCAGAAATGACTCAAATAACTCAAATATCATAATCACACCCAACAATCAGAAAAAAATAACTTCAGTCGCTGAGGCGACCAATATTTAAAAATAAAGATCATTTTTGCCACACATCTTAGTACTTTTTTGAGGAACCACACATCTTAGTACTTCTAACTCAGTGACCATAGGTAAAAATAAATAAAATAGAAAAACAGAACTGAAATAAATAATGACAAATAACCAATTAAAAAGAAATAACTTATACGGAATAGGTGATAACTCATAAATATTGGATCAACTGACGAGATAAAAAATAAAAAAAAAACGTGACGCCTGTTTATACTCTCAAAGCAGCCCATGAAAATCTCCTCTTTCGAAAAAAAACCCAACCGCCACTCATAATCCGTATACATGCTCTATGCTCATAACAAGAGTCCTGTATAGGACATACCATATGGTCCATATCCCTTTTTGTTCATTTGAATTTTGAACTATCAAGATGAATGGGGGAAGCTAAATCCTTAGAGAACTAGCATGAACGGTAACACATTATTCCAGGCAATGAGTCCATCATTAATAACAAATTAACAATCATTCACAAGGGTGCTGGACCAAGAACTTGAAAAAGGAGTAACCACGTGCGAAGTTATAGTCTTCATTAAAATTGTACGAAGTCAGGCATCACGCTACATCAACATATATTTTACATAGAAGACAGGAAGACACTCCGAATAAAAAGTGGACAGACTACGGCACTTAACTATCAGCAACTGCCACCTTGGGTTCTGCTGCTGCAAAAAAACCGATGCTGAAGTCGAAGCTGATACATGCCAACTCATGCTTCTTCCCATCCATCATCTTCATGGTCAGCGTGTAGGAACCCTGAATTATCCAAACTTTACAATGAACAGAATAACTGTGTACAGATAAGAATGACTCCCTAATTCCCCAAAAAGTACTTTAACGTAATGTCTTTAACTTTTTTATAAAATTGCATTGTTACTATCACGCAGTAATGGATTTTGAAATAAATGTCTTATTAATATTTTGATTGTAAAGATGAATGCCTAAAACTTTCAAAAGAAAACTGTCTCACATGTATCTAAATGGAATATGAATTTAGATGTAAAACGTAATGTAAGTTTTCGATACTTTGACCCGGAGTTGGCCGAGAGCCGTATTGGATCCGAATGATCCGGGTCTAGGAGCACAAAGGGTAGATTAGCCGAGTCAAGGGTATAGGTCTGCAATTTTTAGTTCCGGTCCAACACACACACATTGGGTGTTTTTTAAGGTTAATATATTACAATGTGTAGCATATAATCCGCATAACCCCTCACGGGCCTCACCTGCACTCATTTTTGCATAATTTATTGGATATTTGTACGAAGTGTAAAGCATTTATGCATAATTTTAAGAAAAATTTTAATTTTGCCACTGCAAGACTCGGAAAAATAATTTCTCCACTTAAAAACTTGGAAAAAGAACTTCCCCACTGCAAATTTTGGAAAAAGAATTTCGCCACCGTAAAACTTGGAAAAGAGCCCCCCTGCATAATCATGGCTCAATTCCTGGATGTACCATGGTTCACCATCTCACTTCCAAACATAAGCATATGGATGGCTCAATGCTCCATGATTATAAAATCCAGATGGTGTCATCATCACCATTTATTAATATATATAGTCAGTAGGCACACTACTTTGGTAATGAATAGTGATGATGATGCCAAATATGAAATATGTTCTTTGATTCCGTTACAGACTTTAAAATTACTCGTAAATGCCACTAATACGAAGAACTATCTAGACACAATAAGTTAAGTCCACTAATCAAGAGGAAATGTGCATAAAAATCAATAGGCATAAAAAATCATAGGCAGTGAGGGAAGTAGAGATGAACTGGAAAGAAGAGAAATCTTACAGGAGGGGTTATCCCAGGCAATGCTTGGGTGTGTGCTATGACAAAATCACCAGCAGAAATAGGGCAAGGTGTCTCTTCACATAGGTCATGTGTCTCACTGTAGACATTAAATATCCAGTATTTGACATCAATCTGCATCTTCCCCCCAGAAATGTCTTTATCTGAATGAGAATGTTAAGTCAATCCTTTGGCAACATAGTTAATAAGAGGCTTTGTTGCATACCATATCTTTTACCTTTACTTACTTAAAACTACTAGTTGGACTTCGGAGTTCTCTACTCTATCTGTTCTCATTAAAAAGTTAAAACATGTTCTCTTTAACTTGACTCATTACTATATTGGACCGGATAAGAAATCCATCAAACAATATTTTTTTTCCATTCTTGGAATTCGTCTGATTTTTCTCATCATTCTCCTCCTGTCTTGCAACGCATTTAGATATAAAAATATACTAAACCAGACCAGAAAAATCAGTAAAAAGAAACAGACCTTTTAGTCAGTAAATGTGTCACAAAGAAAAAGATCAAAAATGTCCAACATATGTATTACTCGTATTATACAATGGAGCCTACAGAGATAAATGTGATATCGTATGATAGCACAATATGGAATACTTATCCTCTAACAAAATCCTCCAACACATTAACAAAGATAACTTAAAACAAAACTTAAACACCTGTTTGTAAGATGAAAATTCTTCTGTTAAAAAGACAATTTAAGAAGAAACGTTTTAATAAATTTAGTGCATAAAACCAATTATTATGAAATTGGACACAATAGAACAATCACCTGAATAAGCTGATATGCTAAAAGTGGTGTTGATGCCTCTTTGCACAGGACTAGGTGTTATATCAACTCCGCTGACCTTAACATCATAGTTCTTCTTGCCTGCACATATGGATTTAGAGAATTCACCACCAAAAAATAAATAATAAAACCAAAAATTAAAAAGAAAAAAAAACATAATAAGAGAGACTACAAGTCAACCAAAAGTCCACATAGCCCTAAAAGAACAATATGCAACAAACTCCATCTAAAGAAAATATCAGAAGACTACTCTACGTAGGCTAGCAATACGCCCAGAAAGATTTCATTTTTATCAAATAAAGGGTGCCCAGTCAGAAGTTTTGTCAAACAGATAAAATCCCGAGCAAACTATGACTTCCACGCATGAATCTCGGGATCTGGGAATCAGTTTGAATGGTAAAAGATATTTAAAACATAAGAACGAGCCAATTCGTCTCTTCCAAATAAAACCTGAGGTCACGATAATAGGAATAACAAAAAAAAATTGAGGTAAGAGATGGTCAAAGAGTCAAGAGGAACGTACTGCAGTACTGAAAATCATTAGAGTCGGCTAGGCTCATGGAAAATATTGAACACAGAAATACTAAAAGGGCAAGGACGAATTTCGCTTCCGCCATTGATGATCAACTGAGAGAGAAAGAGTAGAGACGATGAAGGTCGTAAAGGAAGAGGAGTCGGTGGAAGAGTTTAGGGGGACGTTTGTCTTCTGTGGCAACGTGGCGACAATACTTCGTTTGTACGAAATTGCTTTTTTTTGGGCTGGACTGGCCCACCACTTGTTTAAAAGTCGTAACTATATACCTTATTTAAAATTTTGCTACATTTTTTTATTTGGGATGTAATTCTCGGGAGAATTATCAAATAGGCCCTCGAACTTACATAAAAAGTGAAAATCATTCCTTATACAAGAGGTTCTGTTCGGCCATTACCATTTGGAGAGGTTCACGGTAAAATTTTTTGATGGAATTTTTTGAACATATTATTCATTAAATCTAGTTTACTCATACCAAATTTCAGCTAAATATTCAATTGAGAAGACAGTCAAATGATTTTCTGAAATATACTGCATTGTTTAACTGCGCAGTTATCTTCAAAAATTCATTTGACTGAATTTGCGATTGATTTTTTAGTTGAAATTTGGTATGAGTAAACTAGACTTAATGAATAAGATACTCAAAAAAATTCATCAAAAATTCCCACCGGGAACCTCCCCAAATGGAGATGGCCAGACAGAGCCTCTTATATAAGGGGTGATTTGCACTTTTTATGTAAGTTTGAAGACTTATTTGATAGTTCTCCCTTAAAAGTTTGTTAAATTTTCCATTTTTGGTAAATTGTTCTCTTAAAAGTACTCAATTACCCTTATTTTCTCTACTTTTTATTTTCTTTTCCCTACTTTTTCACTTTCTTGCCTACTTTTTTTACACGTAATGTAGTGATTTTTAAATACGAAGGGAGTAGTACATAATATTACATCTGTCTCATTTTAAGTGTCTTACTTTTCTTTTTAAATTGTCATAAAATAAGTGTCACACTTTTTATGAGTAAATTCCCAAAATGGGACCAAAACATTGGAGAAGCGCCGCAATAGGACTGCTACTTTTCTATGTGATATCGTAGGACCAAAACTAGATTAGAATGCCAAAAATGCTCTGCAAATCCTCTCGACATGAGTTTGCAAGCTGATAACTCTGCGATGAATACCGGCTACGACCGATCGGTGTTAGTTGGGTGGAATGAGCGTCGGCGACGATGTGTGGTGACTTTGCTACATGCCCAGGTGAGCTTCTCCTCCTCCCCCCCTCCCCCCCTCCCCCTCCTCATGCTTTGTTGTTCTCTTGTTCCACCTTTCATCCCTTTTCTTCTTCTTTTGAATTTCCATTTTGTTATTAATTTTGAATATTTTATTTTAAATCATTCTTATTATTTTTCTCATGATTTGAATTTGAAAATGTCATTATAGTTGTTTTATTGAACACTAACTCGAAAATAATGTCACTATTGTGGCTTTACAATATTTATCAACACAGTAGATTTACTTTACAAGTTAATTACATTTTCAGAGTAAAATTGATAGTTTCAAAGAGTAATAATGACACATTGATGATATTTTTAGAAGAAACATGATGACATTTTTAAAAAGGTGAAGGAGGAGCGACTGCAAGGTTTTTTGCATCTGTAATTGTCATCTTCATGACATTTCATGTCATTTTTGCAAAGGTGGAGGAGGAGCGATTGTCGGGTTTTTTACGTCTATAAATGTCATCTTCGTGACATTTCATGTCATTTTTAAAGAGGTGAACGAGGAGGAGCTACTACCAGGTTTTTGCGTCTGTAAACGCCATCTTCATGACATTTCATGTCATTTTGAGAACGAAAATGACATTTTTTAAAAACAGAAAAACTAAAAGCAGAGCAGGCAGTAGAAGAAATAGAAAGAGTAAAACTAGGAAGAGCACTATGAAGAACACCTGGAATTTTGAAATTAGTGTTGGTACCCCATTATTGCAATTCGAAAGATGAATGTTCCGATCGGATCGAAGAGGAAGAGAGAAGATGAAGAAGTGGCAGAGATGTTACCAATTAAATCAGAAAAGGGGGGAGAGGAGTGTGAGACTTCGGATATTAAAAATTACTCCCTCTGTCCCGCTAAGATTGTCCCATATTACCTTTTCAGGAAGTCCCACTAAGATTGTCCCATACCAGATTTGGTAAAGATTGTGTGGTTCTAAACCATTCTAACTTTATTCTTACTTTATCAATTTAATATCAACCACACAAACTCACTTTTCTTAAAAATCGTGCCACCTTCTCTCATCTCAATCTTAGTGGGACGGAGGTAGTAAAAGAAACACAAATGAAGTGAGGAGAGAGCAGACAATAACCTATAAATTGCTGAGGAGGGGGAGGAGGAGGAGGGGGAGCTTTATCGACATTATAGAAGCAATGACAACTCAAAATAGGAGCGGGTGATTCCTATTATGGGAAAAACATGGTTAGTCTTACTTTGGCTTTTTATCTATGTTTTGGTCTTATTTAGAACAATCCTTTATTTTTTTATTTGAAAAAAAATGTGACTACAAACTTTCACTTTATTATGCTCAATTCATAATCACAGCTTTTGCTTTTTAATCACTTTATTAATAATTATGTCAAATCAAAATAGGACACATAAAGTGAAACAAGAGTAATACTAATCAAGCAAATCTACTCCCAAAATACTCGAGAACTCGATTCTTACTTGAACATAGATCGACTCGATTCAAACTCGACTTGCACTCGAACTCGACTCGAACCAATCCAAACCAAGCTCAAGTTTAAATATTTGACCCGAAAAGCTTGCAAGATATTCGATTATGAGTTAATATTGATTATTTTACATTCACACATGACCTTCCATCATATAGAGCTTGTTTAGTGACTCTATTTTTCAGCTTATCATGCTTATCAACCAACTTTTTAACCAAACACATAATTTTTTTATTTCGCTCGTTGAATTGTGTAATAATAAGAAAATGTTAGGTTGGAGTTACATATCATTTATTCCAACATGCTTTTATTTGTGTACTACATATCATTTTTTTTAGAATAAATAAAACTCAACTATAATCATTGTTCTAAAACTCGGATTCATAGGCATTCAACATGTTATAGTAACCATTTCAGTTGTAGTATACATAGGCTGATAGGCATTCAACATGACACTATTCAGCCTGCAATAAGTGTCTTATACATATCATTGAAAGAGCTTCGCCAACCACTGCTCCACGCCTACACACATAATCAGTGATCAACGGCTAAGATGCACCAAAATCTCGAGTGAAAAACAATTCTCCCCTTTAAATGGCGGCCTCTAATTCACCATCCATGTTTTGTTTTCAATTTCATGTGTGAGAGATCATACCGCACCATCATTTCCTTAAACAATGACTCACTTGATAATATTAGTCTTGAACTCACAAACCATTTGTTTGTCAAAGCTCATAAAGGAATGGTCTCTTTTTCTCCATAACAGCATCTGAAAAGGACAAGATATTTATATTCCAGATCACTTAGAAGCTGAATGTTGGAATTATGTCTTGAGACAATTTATGATCTGTGCTTGGATATTTTAAACTCTGCTGTGTTCTTCAATTACAATGTTCAGAGAAAACCGTTCTGATCTGGAGATAGGGTAGGTCTCAGGAGGCTTTTTTATTCATACTGTTGGGATTCAGGATCTCCATTATCTTCTGTGCTTGAAGAGGAGATAAGCACTTGAAAAGGAAATAGCAAAAGTCTTGCAGAGCCGCAATTCAATAACAGGACTTTAGGCTGATTGCTAAGACGTGGTGGCTGCCTGGCTGGTTGCCTGGTTTTGAGCAAACATAACAACGTGTAATTTTATCAGCTCTTAGTGCTTCAGCTCTTCAAAAGAAAAGGTCCAACAAAGCACACGCAATTGCCTTGTCATATAGGTCTGCTGGTGTCTCTGGACTTGGTTTTACACATTTAACCCGTAAATTAAAGAGAAACCATCACCTATTTGCTGACACTTCAATGTTATCCATGTGAAGATTATGTGACTTACAATCACTGACCATGTTGTGCAAAATTTCTGAAGCCTCAAAGTTCAGGCCACGAGCAAGGTACTGATCAAATATTTTGGAGTACATCAAAGCAGTACAGAGCTCAGATTCCTTTAAGTTGCAGGAAACGATCTTCTTCCATTCCTTTGATTTTCCATCCAAGCAAATCCCATGCAACAATGCTGCAAAGGAAACAGAATCAACACACAAGCCCTTACTGGCCATATTATTCTGCAGCTCCAGTGCAGTTTTTAACATCCCGTTTAAACTCAGGCAAACAATAATTGAGTTATATGCAGCAATATTTGGAAGCCATCCATCTGAAATCATCTTTCGAAAAGCATCCAAGAACATGGATGTCTTGCAGCTTTTAGGATTATTTCCTTCCTTCAGAACTACAGAATGTGCACTATTTGAAAATCCATTCACCAAATAATTAAAGGTATAATTATTTGGGCAGCACTTGGAAATAAGCATCTGTTCAAAAAAAATTGCAGCTTTTGCAAGTTGTCCTTCCTTACAAAATCCCCCAATCAATGTAGTATAGGTAACAACGTTAGGAACTAAACCATTTGACTGCATATAATGGAAAAAATATAGTGCTCTTTGAGAACTGCCAATTTGGCAATATCCATTAATGAGAGAGGTATAAGCAACCACGCTTGCTAAACACTTCTGTTTCACCATTTCACAGAATATTGTCAGTGCACCACTCATGTTTTGTTTCTTTACAAATCCATCTATCATAGTGGAATAAGTATACCCGTCAGGAAAAATCTTCAACTTCTTCATCCTGCTCATAGATGACACCGCCTCACTCATCATCCCAAACTTACAGTAGCCCTTGATCATTGCATTATGCCCCACAACACCAAGATCCACACCGTTTTCAATTGCGTGCTGAAAGAGCTTCTTTGCTTCATTTATCTCTCCAATTCTTATGATCCCATCCACTAGAGTGGCATAAATATACATGTCAGGTACGATACTGTGAGAAAGCATCTCAGAAAAAAGCTGCTTGGCTTCAGAAAGCTTCCCTTTTTTGAAAAGCCCGTTCATCAAGACATTATATATACAAGAATCAGGTAACAATCCCTTCTCGGTCATCCTGTCACGAATAGTTAAGGCGACATCAACATGCCCAGAGCGTACAAAACCATGGATTAGAGCTCCATATGTTGGCAGATCAGGTGGATCACCATACTCAGTCATCTTAACAAGAAAACATGAAGCCCTGTCAATATCTCCCTGTGTACAGTACAGATGGATCAAAGGAGTATATGTACGTTTGTTAGGCACCAATCCCCTATTTCTTGCATTCTCTAGAAGTTCTTCAGCCTCCTCAATTTCCCCAGCTTTGCATGAACCAGAGATCAAAGTATTATATGTCACCAGATCGGGATCACATCCCTCTTCAATCATTTTTCTAATGGCATCCAGTGGTTTCAGGTCACCACCATGCCGATATTTAGCATCTATAATGATGTTATATACATGGGCATTGGCTGTGAGTCCCCTAGCCGCCATATCCCTCATAAGCTCGTCAATTATCTCAAAATTTCCATTGTTGCTGAATCCATTTATCAGAGCTCCATATGTCTCTACGGTTGGCAAAAAACCCATGGAGTTCAATTTTTGGAAAATATTATAAGCACTTTTTATATCACCCTTTTTGCAATACCCATCAATAAGTACATTGTAAAACACAATACTTGGCACACACGCCTTTCCCCACCTGTCACTGATAAGCTTCCAGCCTTCATCAACCATGCCATCTTTACACAATCCATTCACAACTATACAAGTGCTATAATTATCCAAACATCTATTTTCAATTCCAGCATCCCTCTTTACCATCTCATTGTATACCACCATAGCAGCTTCAACCCGTCCATTACTAACAAGACCATGAAGCAAATGATTACAAGTGACTACGTGAGGTAGCAAATTGAAGGTTTTCAAAACGAATGAGTAGAGTTCAAGAGCTTTCTCAACCACACCTGAAATTGAATAAGCTCGGATCAATTCATCAAATGCCTCTCTTGTAGGCAACGTCTCCTCGCATTTTGTACACTCACGCAGCAGAGCTTCAATTTCCTGGAAGAGTCTGAACTTCGCAAGTAGCTTTAAGAGAGACGAGTACGCAAACCCATCAAGGGGACAGCCATAGGGTCTCCGAGAGATCCAGTCAAAGAACTTCAAGCCCAATTGAGCATCGCGAATTTTGTCGAACACAAGGTGCGCTATTTCAGATGGAACCGCTTGGGCTTCCGAAAGGAGGACCTCAACATTCCGTTCCCAGTGACTTTGAGTTCTTAGAATGCTGCAAACCTCATAGGCGACTTTTCTTTCACTGGGTGTGACTTGGAGGTTCGATGGTGAACTGCGTTTGGGTTTCTGGTTGCACAGAGGTTTTATACGAGAAATTATGCTCTTAGACATGTGAGACTGGGATACCCGACCTTTGTACAGAGCACACCACTATGCACGCTAGCATCCTTGGCCCGAGTTAGTTGCAGTGTGGAAGGAGTGTCGGACGGGCACCGGTGGATTTTGGAAGGTTGGATTAGGGACGGTTTGAAAGGAAAAATAGTTTTTCAACTCTTTTTTATGACAATTTTTTAGTTTAAAAAGTTTGAAATTGAATACTATCGTATTTTCGAATGACAACGTCCGTTTAAATTACTCCCTCCCTATTTCAAAGATATCTTCGATAGGGTTGGACACAACATTTAAGGCTGAAATAGTCGGGGTAATGAATAATGTAGAGAAAGTAGGACACAAAGTGTGAAAGTATAAAAGAGGAGATGAAAAGTAGGAAAAGTAAGGATAATTGAGTATTTTTAAAGGAAAAAATTTATCAAAAATGAAAAGTGTAACAAACTTTTAAATACATTCAAAAAAGAAAAATGTAGCAAACTTTAAAATACGGAGGAAGTAAGCATTTTAAAGCAAAAAGGTGGAATTAGATGGTTAGGTGCGGGGACGTTATAAATTGTTTATCACTTTGTATGTTACTAAAAAGACATTTAATGAGGAATGATCACCTCAGGTAGTTCTGACGGGAAGCCCCGTCCCAACTTGGCTATCAGAGGACCTTCCTGGTGGAATTTTTTGATGAAATCTTTTGAGCATTTTCCTCATCAAGTGTAGTTTGTTCATACCAAAATTCAGCTCAAAATTCGTTCAGGAAGGCATTCAAATCATTTGTTTAAGTTGACTGCGCCAAAATATACATATAAAAACGCAGTCAACTTCAAAAAATGATTTGAATGCCTTGCCGATCGAATTTTGAGCTGAAAATTTGGTATGGACAAACTAGACTTGATGAGGACCGTGCTAAAAAAAATCATCAAAAATTCCACCGGGAACCGCCCCAAACGGTGAAGTCTGGATGGTGGCTAGACAAAGAAGGGTTGGACCTGATCATTTCCGGACATTTAATTTCTATCAAACGTCATCAACTTTTACATTTTTAAAACCTTTTTTTTATCAAAAATACCAATTTTTACTATTAGTAGTACATGTATTCACTTAAAATCATTTTAATTTTTTTTAATTAGAAGCGACTGCAAACAATGGCGGAGCCAACAAATGACTCGGGGGATCGATCCCAGCTATATCATCATCATCATTACCCCCGTGCCGCAAAGGCTCCCACACCTTCAGTGGGGTTAGAGGTAGTCGGATGTACGCAGTCTTACCACTGTGCCAAAGCACAGAGAAACTGTTTCCGGATGACCCATAGTGAAAATTGCATGGACCGATTGTTGCTTCATAACAAAGAAGCGCAGACAGTTTAGTAAGCCATTCTGCTTTATTGAATCATATTCTCAAGCCAAAAAATAGTGAGTCATTGGCTCCATTGCAAAATGATGGAGAGATCTATCCCAGCTATATACAGAATGAAAATGATGAATCATGTTTAGACAATATCTGAGTTAAATGTTTCATATGTAGTTTAAATATATAGGAACTCGTACCAATAAGATAGATTGTCTTTGTTTTGTCTATGAGTTATGTCACATACAATGAGTAATTATACGCTGTTTTTAAAATTTGGGAAAGTAACCAATAGCATGCATCAAATTTTGCTGATTTTACATTTAGATAGTGCCGATTTTCCAGAAGTCATAATTTTTTACGCGTAATGAGTTACGGAGGCCATAATATATCAAATCAAAGACATTACAGAACTCTATACTCTCAATCTTTTGGGGAGTCAGCTAACCCTCTTTGACTTCGCCCCTGATTGCAAACACCTCTAAGGACCCTGATTGCAAACACCTCTAGGAAAAACTTCTTTTATATGGAGTAATATTTACAATAAAATGGTGTAATGACAGTTCAGTTTCGAGTAGAATTTTTTATCTATATTTTCGGGTTTTCATCTATATTTTCGAATTGGACGGAGTTGTACCCACGAGGTTAGCTCAGTTAGTTGAGTGGTGGGTGTTGGTAGAAAATAACCCGGGTAGAGAAACTAGCAGCATTTTAGTATAGTGAGAAAAACATAGAGAATACATGAGGGGTGATGGCCTATTTATAGGCATCCACCACAAGTCCAAAAGTCTAATCTACGTGGGCTTGGCCCAAATACATAATACATGTCCAAGCTAATGGGCGAACCGGCCCAATAAATAAGTAAATGAGCAAGGGGCGATTCCCGCTCGTGAGACTGCGTCTTGGGCCTAGTTGGGCCAAATCTCGGGGATAACGGGCCGATGGCACTGGGCTTGACATATTATCCCAACACGAGTCCCCCACTCCCTTAGTCGAGTAGTAGACTCGGCTAAAAGGGAGTAGTTGAGCTGCTTTGAAATCGGCCCGGTTGCCAAGCTAGCTAGCTAGTTACACAGATGATTGTTGATGATGACGATCTATGGTGTGCCTGGAAAGGCTAGTCATGCAACCGTCTGCTGTGATCCCACAGTGTCGCGCAAGGATGAGACCCTCCTTGTCTGGGTAGCCTCCTGGGGTCCTGGTTATCTGTCCATCTGCTCGGGGTCTTCTTTGCTCCAACCGGGAAGACCTCTTCCTTTGTTCATGATGAGGGGATGCCTCGTTAAAACCTTACTAGGAAAAACCCGGTGGGAAAAAATCCTAGTGAAGGAAAAAGAGTACACCGATACCTCAAAATAAAACAGAGGAGGGTCAATCTCGTCGATTCTTGATTGAGCATCTGCTTTACTGATAAGCCGAGATGTGTTCCGGGAAGGCCAGTCGCTCGTCTGCTTTCCAGTGGTGGCAGTCGAGCCAAGGTATGCCCATGAGAGGCTGGTCGCAAAGCTGCCTGTTGATGATGCCGAGCCGAGATATTCTCGGGAGAGGGTAGTTTTATAACTATGCACATTTATCCTCGCTGCTTGCAAGAGGATATGGTTTCCTTTGTCTGGGTAACAGTTTTAGGTCTTGTTTATCCGATTAGCCTCCCATGGTCTTGTTCTTCTGATCAGCAGCCTGGGGTCTTGTTTGTCCAATTAGCAGCAGCCCAGGGTCTTGTTCCGGTGGAGAGATCTCTTCTTTGAATGCACTCAAAATAGAGCTAAAGGGTAAGCTCTTAGGCCATTGTGTGCAATTGCAACGGTCGCCATCCGTCGAGGGGATAGCAAAGACTGGTCTTCACTTGTGAGCATTGCTCGTCTGAAGTTCTCGAGATAGATGCAGTGAGTAGCCCGTCATGATAAGTAGTCCCTGTTGATTGCTATTATTACCTGTTAGAGACATGGCAGGTAAAAGAGGCGCTCTCGCTGCTTTAGCTGCAGTGCAAGATACTAAGTTTTGGCCTTCAAAGTCAGATGAAGGTCTATCTCAGGCAACGAAGAAGCCCGGAGCTTCGCCGCCTGGTGCTGGGGAAAAAGAGAAGCTTCCCTGCTTTGCAAAGAGTGACTTTCCAAGAAGAGCAAATGTATAAACTGCTCCTTAGGCCGGGTAAGGGGAGATAACCCAACCGGCAGAATCCTCGCTTACTTTATTCGTTTCATCGCAGGTATGGCTGGTTGGAGAAGCGCGTTTGCTGTCTTGCCCTAACCTCCATTTGTATGGTAGGTCGGAGAAGTGCACTTGTTGCCCTGCCCTGACCTTCGTTTCCTCGTTGGTATGGATGGTCAGAGAAGCGCATTTGCTGCCTTGGATGCGACAAAAGATGCTAAGTTTCGACCTTTGACATCCGATGCAAGTCCATCTAATGTCGGGGAGAAGCACACAACTTCTCCACATGATGTCGGGGAGAAACACGCAGCTTCCCTGCATAATGTCAGGGAGATGCTTAGAGCTTCAATGCCTGATACCGGGGAGAGGCACGCACCTTCCCTGCCTGATGCTGGGGAAAGGCACGCACCTTCCCTGCCTGATGTCGGGGGATGCTAAGAGTTTCTCCGCCTAATGCCCGGAGAGATGCTCATCTTCTCCGACTAGTGCTGGGTAGAAGCATGCACCTTCCCTGCCTAATGTCGGGTAGATGCTAATAGCTTCTTTGCCTGATGCTGGGGAGAATCACTCACCTTTCCTGCTTCATGAAGAACAATTTTGTTAAGAAGAGTAAGAGCATGAAGTTGACCATCAGCAGAGGGATAGGATTAGCCGAACAGAAGTTTGGTTCGCCCCTTATCCCAGTCAAAGCATGAAAGATATCTACAAAAGTATGCCATTTGCTGAAAGAAGGGGTTGAGACCAGGCTTGCGATGAAGAAATAGTCGTCATCCTTGTGGACGGCGGGCTGGCCCGATTATAGAATCAGAATGATGACGTTTAGGTCGGTCGTGATGAATCCATAGCAGCGGTCATCATCCAAGTGAAGGGGAATGCGACCAGTCTTGAAATGAGAATGGTGGCACTAAGCCGATCCTGACGAGGATGGCAACTCGTAGGCCGACTGTGACATCAAAGCAGTGGTCATCATCCAAGAGAAGGAGGATATGGCCGGTCTTGAGACAGGAATGGTTGTGTTGAATCGGTGCTGACGTAGACGACGACTCATTGGCCAATCATGAACCCGAAGCAGTGGTCATCATCGTCATCCCGCCAAAGTCGGATCAAGAGAGCTGTGCTTGGATGACTCCCTGGTGCAGGTCAAGAAAGCGATGCAGGGCAAGAGAGTGATGTTAGATCCTTCACAGTGACTTCGGAGTTTTGCAAGCTTTAGGCTCGAGGCCTCCCTAAACTTTTCACAGCTTGTCACTTCTTAGGTCGAGGATCGGCGTCCGGAGTATGTCCACGCTTAATTGCACACGATGCTAACCTCCGACCTTCAAAATTGGATCCCGGCCCGGTCAATGTTAGAGAGAAACGCAGGGCTTCTCCGTCCAATGTTGCAGGAAATGGCGCAGCTTCCCCGCCTCGTGAAGATATACTTGCCATGAAAGGAAAGGGTATGAATTGCTTCTCAGGTCGGGTTAGGGAAGGCAATCCTACCCATACAGCTCTAGCTTACTTCGCTTGTTTTCTTGCAGGTACAGCCGGTTGGGAGAATCACACAGCTTCCTTTCCTGATGCCGGGGAGAAGCATGCAACTTCCCTGCTTCACAAAGTACCACCTTGTTCGTTTCTTTGCATTTGTGCCAGGTCGGAGAAGCGAACTTGCTGCCTTGGCTGCAAAGAGAGATGCTAAACCACTTTCCATGTCATCTGA